GGGAGACACCTCACATCCCCACCCCCCCCCCCCCCTCAAACCCGCACCAGGCCGGGAGGGAGCAGGACCCAACAGAAGTGCACTGTTGACATCTGGTGGAGACACCACGAAATTAAAGGGACACCCCACCAGGGCTCAGACTTCTGGGGGGTAGAAAAAAAACACAACCAAAACACACCACGCAGACTGTTATGCTTGGGAAAACCTTTTGCTAAAAGACATCACGACCCACAGACAAGTCAGTAATTTCAAAGCACGAGAGTACGGATCAACAAACTACTTCAAAGACCAGTCATCCCAACCTAAGACGACAGTCCTCAGAGTCAGGTTGCAAAAGTTACAGCCTAGCTTTATTTAACAGCTTCCTGCATGCAGCAGGGCTGCGTCAGTTCTCAGTGCTAGACATATTCCTGCAAAGAGCTGAAGAGACAGCAAACACTGCAAAGCTGCAGCACTTTGCTAGAAGAGCTAGCAGAGCAGAAGCTGCTCAATCCAGAACTTGCTGCCCACGCTTGGCAGACCAACCAACGGCTGAGGTGTCTACTGCAGTGAAGAGGAAGCAACCAGCTGCCCTAGTACTTGCCTTACCTGTCTTGCTAGAGGAGGGGTTCGTGGGATAGTTAGGCTTTAAAAATTCAGTATTTCTTGTTACCTTCCTTAGCAACTGCTGGTTATTTACCCCTTTTTCCTCTTTAAATAAAATACATCATTTCTTAAGCCAATTGAATATGAGAAAGTTCAGTTTATAGCTTTCCATATTTCTGAGGGTTTGAGCCAAGATTTTATTAATAATCCATGAACCTGGCTTTGATGATACAAAAAGTACTTCTTCCATGCGTTATCAGTTATATACCATGACTTGTTAGAATTAAAAATATTTGCCAACAGAAGGTTGTATCACAATGACACATTGTCATTTCCATAACAACTCTCCATCTCTACCTATCCCAGCATGACACAGTATTTTACTTCACAAAGTTAAATTTGTTGTGAGGAGAGGCATGAGTGATAATGGATACCATCAGTCACATGGACAGGTGAATCTGGCAAACCTGACAGTTGAATGCTAGGACCCAGAGTATTTCTATTCTACTCGACTCTGCTTCTCTAATTCAACACTTTTCCCCACTAATGTCAAGATGATTTTGAAGTCTTAGAATCAGAAACACCACTCAAAAATTTTGGCATAGGGAACCACCACTGATAACATCATCAAGCGGAGTGTAAGACCCTGCATGTTTCTGTAAAACATATCTAGAAATATTATTGACCATGACCAACAACAGCATGGTTCTGTATTTGCTTAAAGAACAGTTCTCTTTTTAGGAAAAGGTAATTAAAAAGCTACACTGTTTATGTAGCATAACAGCATCTATGTTGGGCAGGAGATAATTGTTCATTTAGCTCTTAGGTATTTTTCAGTATCACATAACTATACTTACTACAAAGCAACAATTTCACAAGCATACCTATGTTATGAAAATGCATTTAAGGAAATACCACGTTTTGTCAGTTTGCAAGAAACTACCGAAAGGCATAGTACAGAAAATTGTATTTCAACATATCTTTCATAAACATAAATGTGTATAACAGTTACTTAAGTGATAACACAGTGCCATTTAAAATATTCTTACCTGCTCAGTTATTGAGCTTAAATCATTAGTAGATGAAAAATCTTCCTCTTCATTTTCAAAGAATTCATAGTAGTTCTCCAGAAGTCCCGCCATTATTCTGCTAACTATTTCTTGTTCTTTCAGATCCTCCACATCTGTGTAAATGCTAAAGATTTCAACACTGTTTTAGTTTAAAAATCTAAATCCACCTGTTTCCCCAAAGAACTCCTGTGAATGACTTCTATGACTAAGGGCTACACTTCACACCATTATCCCTAATCCATTCTGAACACACAGAACTTTAAGCATACCTTCACACTACTGCATTATAAAGCTTTATACTAGTTTATATTTCAAAGTGATGAAGTAACAACTATTTAGTCAATTAGCTTTTCCATAAGGAACGTTTAAAATTCAAGTATTTTCCTGTGGACAAGAAACCCCAGTACGTACTTTAACGGCTTTCTCCCAGAACTGCCTTCTTGCTACATAGAGTAATCTTGCACACTATCTCTAAAAATTTTGAACCTTAGGGTAATTACCATAATGCAACAATCAAAGCAGTGGTTTCTAATGCCATAGCTCATAGACAAGCTGTTGTTTAGATCAAAGCAAAAACTGTAAGACAGAACTGGGGTGAGAGAGTGGGGGGGGAACAGGAAGATATTGCCCAGAACATATTGTGTACTTGCTACTGTTACTCATGGACTAGGAAAGACTTTAGACTACAGATGTACACTATCAAATTCACATAAAAACACTACATGAACTTTTATAACTAACTTACTGAAAAACATCCGGGCCAAAGACTGCAGCTAAAGAACTTGCCGACCAAATTTCTTCATGATGCGATGCTACATTAGCTAAAAATTTACACAGAAACTTTAACAAACTGTAATTAACAGGTGGAAGCTGCTGCAAGAGGAACCTCAACTTTCTTCCAAATTCATCTTCATTATTATAATCTGAAAATTGTAATACAAATATTTTAATCACAGAAATAAAATATCTGCTTTTTCACATTTGATATTGATCAACTTTTTGACTCCGACAACAATTACTTACTTCTGAAGTACAACTAACTTGGTCAGACCACAGCCTAAAATGTCAGAAGTTTACTTGCATTTGTTCAGTGTGAGATTCTCATACTAAATTTCTCCAATGAAAAAGTAAAAATAAAACAAACAAACAAAACCCCCAAAACCTGAAGTTTCCAGCTCACTACTACTATAGTGGTAGTACTTTATCACAATCCATCTGTCCCAGCATCTCATCCTCTCATTTCAGTCTCTGGATTAGCCTCTTCCTCTATGATCTTTCCAAGAGAGGCTGATAACTCATTTCCTATTCTGTCACTCTTCTTAAATGATGTCAGAGGTTTGGAGGGGCAGCGAAGAGGCCAGGGAACACAATACAAAGAACCCTCCCCAGCCTTGTTTCCATAGCACAGTACCATCAGATTACTTTTCCTAATGATAAATTAAACTGTAAATTTAATTTCTTCAATGAAGCAGAAATTGATAACGTAAACCAATGATTTCCACCCTATTCTCCTCTGCAAGTCCAATCAGCAGTTTTCAGCATGTTTTCCCCAATTAATGCTCACTCAAGTTGCTGATTACATAGCGCTAGCTCCTCCGTATACTTCCATTTTGCCACTGTTACATAACAATTGCTGTGCAGAAGAGCTCTAGAGACAGCAACACCTCCAGAGACAGTGAGCTAACTTAAAAGCTGGTTAAATTCTCCCCGTTTCAGACAAGCTACTTTGACACTTTTTCCTCTACAAGCATCCCATTCTCAACACTCTACTTCCTTTTGTAATACTTAACTGATGAATACAAGCAATCTCAATGCAATCATCTTAACACATACTTAGCTTCAAGCTTGCTGATTCAATTTCAGACCTGAAAAAGGGTCACCACAAAACTTCCTCATTCTCATCCCAGGTTTAACTATACCCTTCGTCAAAATATCTCCCCACAAATCTCATTTGTTACATTATAAACCTTACAGGCAACAAGGTTCAGAGTTTACAATTGTAATTAACAGAGAAACACCATATAAAGGAAAAGAAATGTCAGGAAAGCAAAATGGGAGAAAAATTGATACTAACAGGCTTCCCCTTCTTTCTCAGACATTTGAAAACTCTTCTCAGATCAGTTAGAAAGGGAAAAGGATGTTTGAAGATGATGAGCAGTCACTCTGCCTCTCTAGAGGAGAGAGCTGAGACATCCTAGTCCTTAATAACAAATCAAAGGAGTGAGTAAACCCCCTGTTGTGTATGCATAGTAATTCCAAACAGTAACTGTGCAGGACTTCATTTACTCAGACACAGTCAACATCTACAGTATTTGAATACAGGTAACCAGGCACAGAAAAATAGTTCTCTCAACACAGTAACACAAGAAAACAAAGGTATTATTGTTAGTCTTTACTCTAGAAATGTGTTTAGGAAACAGAACAGCAAAAGAGAACTTACAAAAATACTTTCACAAAGTAGACCTTCAAGAAAGGGAGCAAGAGAGAGGTGATAGTCAGACCACCTTGCACATACACATACAGATGTTTTTGTCTAACCAATCTGTCCTAAAATTTAGATACTAAACAACAGCCAGAGACCTAAAGTGAGAACGTTCTTACCTGTAACTGAAGTCCTCTGACAGTAAACTGTGGATACACACTTCTGGGACACATGGCCTAACACACTGGGGTCAAATTCACATTTCACTTACTAAAATCACTTGCCTTTGAGGAACCACCATTAGGCCTTCATGGAACAATCCTCAAAAGATGTATATAGCCACACCTTGTTGTATAACTAAGTTGTTTTGACAACTAAGCTTAACCTAATGATAGGGAAGGCCTGCTAAGGAGGGAAAAATACCAGAAGTAACATATGTATCCAAAATTACTACCAGCTTCTGCATTTATGTAAGCAATTCTTCTGCCTAAAATGCAGCTGATACTGTAATTCTGAAAATTAACTGAGATCTGTCTATCAGACAGTCAAAATATCAAAAGCCAAAACCTGAGTAGAGGAAACCGAAACTCTAATTTTAGTATCAGGAAACAACGTTTACAGGTTTATGTGGTTTGATTTCCTTGGTACAGATAACTTTAAATCTTTCTGAAATCACTTAATTCTACACTTTAAAAAAGACAGTAAAGACAATAAGCTGCAAATTTAAGTGAAGTTTCTCTGTGTATTTAAGAAAAGGGAACTAAATGGGGACTTACTTGCTGGAGAACAGCTCTTTTCCCAAAACAACCCATATGTAAATCCTTCCAGAGTCATCTACGCAAAGATGGAAAAAACCCAATTTTCACACTGGATCTTACAAGTCATTGAAAGGAATTACACTGTCATACCAAGCGAGCATACCTCAATCACATTTCCAGTCCTGATAGATAACATTGCAAATCGAGGTGCGTAGCAGTATTAGCTGAGCAACCAGCAGCATTCTGCATTACTGTCTTAACAATCCTTTTGTTATTTATCATTTTTTCCAGGGGGAGGGGTGTGTGTGCACAAAAACCAAAACAAAACAAAAACAAACAAAAAACCCCAAACAAACAAAAAAACACCCCAAACCACAAAATAAACCCAACGGTTTACTAGCTACTTAGGCCCAATGAACCATGACATTAGCAACGCAAACCAAATAGCAGACATATCACTAATGAAATTCCCTATTCACTTCAGTTTCTCATTACTGCACAGGACAAACAAACAAACAGAATTTCAGCCTTAACAAGCTTCCAAAAATTGCTTCCAGCACACAACTACTTAGTGCTTCAGACATCACTGTTCAGCCTCTGCTCACCAGCTATCCAGATAACCACCCCACATTCAAAGTTTCAGGATATACAGGCTACCAAGGGAGGAAAACGAAGCAGCTTCACACTGCTGCACAAGATCCTCCAGTTTAGCACTTGGTAAATATAGCATAACAGCATCTGAAAACTATGCTATACTCACTCATCCTACAAACCAATTCCCACTCTGAACAAACAGGACTATCATGAGCACTATCAAGTTCTTACCAGGAATAAACTCAATAACAGAAAATTAAATCAAACAAAAATGTGCACCTTATAAAGCAAAACAAGCCCAGCACTTGGACAGAAGTACAAACTGACACTGGAAAATGAGCAACACGCCTGCAGAGTGACAACCAGCAAAACCCTCAGTTATGTTACAGGGTGCAGAGCTCTGACATGAACATACCCTCTGAGGACATTACTAATGTAGCACTGCAAGACAAGCATTTTTACTAGTCAAGTTACGAATCAACTCCAACACCACTCAACACAGCAGAGGCCAAAAGACCCAGGAGAGTGGATACAGATAGACAAGTTGGGAATTGGTAAAGAAAATACTGTGCCAGCATATGGGTGCCAATTTGAAAGGGCAAGGTTTTGCAGTATATGAAAAAACATACTTAGCAACAATATGCTGATGACAGGTGTTTTTTTTTCCTCCTACAAATGAATCTTAAGCTGAAAAAAAATCCACAGTGGGAGAGCAAATATGACATGAGTATAGGGCTTGAGATTGTTTCTCTAGTATGCAAAAGCTTTAAGTGCCATGGAAGCAGAGACAGAGTAAGTGAAATTCAGAGAAAATAAGATAAAAACAGACAAAATCTTTCCCTAGCACTTTTAAAGCATCAGTGGTGGGAAATTGTCAAACAACTTTGACTCCAGTGGCTTTGACCAGTGTCCCAGTATTCACGCACAAGAACATGAAATATTCAGAACTAGTCAGCATGATATGTGGCAGCTTCACTATTTTCCTGCACGATGAATAAGCTGTGTCTCTGAACCCAGACTGAGTTTCCTAAAAAAAGACCTATTTATTTGGGGTTTGTGCTAAGAAAAGGTATATTTGAATGCCTCCTGATACACACATTACTACACAGAACAAAGACACCCAAGTGCTACTACAAATCACAATTTAATACTGGTTTTTACTCTTAAATTAATAAAAGAAAAACACCGAGTAATTATTACCTTGAGAAAGTTGCATCAAATGTATGTGCAAACTGCCTGGGATAACTGGCTCTGGAAGTTCTTGAAGAAAAAATCTAAGAAGGCTAATAGCTGAGGGTACATCTGCTTCTTTAACCAGGTCCACATCTTCTCCATTATCATACCGTTGCCGAAGCCACTCCACTGTCTCAGCATTCCCATTGACTTGAAAAAGTCCTTCTTGTTCCAGACCCCCTGAGTTACAAAGAAGTTGCAGAAATAAACTTTTAGATCTAGTATGGACAAACATATCAGAAAATACTGATAATCAGATATGCACAATTCACATACTGAATGAAAGACTTTCTGGACAACAGTTTTGCAAGGCTTCCAGCAGTCCTATTCCCAGCAAACACATTCTTATGCCCAGCTAACAATACAGTAATAAGGTAAGCGTTAACAGTACCTAAACCATGCCATTTCCTATGTAGTACCCTACTGAGCTGACTGCATTAGTATTAGCTAGAAAACAGAGATAAACATAACAGCAGGAGTAAAGAAAGGAAGTGTATATCACAAAAAAAAACCCCAAACAAACAAACAAAAAAACCAAAACGAAACACCCAACCCAGATCACATCCAACTAAATATAAGTAACTTAAGAAAACAAGTACTCTTCAAAAAACACAATCTATTCTGTAAGAATAACAGTTAAATATATTCTTTAAAGTACAGCAAAATAATACATACCATGTTCTTCAATATAGTCCACAACATGGCGGACTATGAATGGAACCTCATTGTCTGGTTGCCCTTCTTGCTGCAGCTCACCAAGTGGAATTCCAAATATTTTGTTAGCAAGAACAGAGTTGCAGTTACTCAAGGAAGGGGAGGAGCTCTTCCTCATATCTTTTTGCAGCCAAAAATCAAAGCTGTCTTTTCTATCAAATAAGAGGAATTAAAACCAAAAATCATACTTCAGTGTACACTGTGGAATGTATTGATCTGTAACACAATGTGCTTTAATTACCCAATGCAAATACTCCCCGGTCTCTCTCAATCAGTTCACTGATTTAATGAAAGTTCTGTAATTACTCCAACTACAGCTAACTAGATAAATGACTATAACCGAGGTGTTCTGTTCAATCCGTAATACATTTTCTGACAGTATTTAACAGTCAGGCTTTGAAAATCCAACACAAAAGCCTCTCCAGAGGAAATTAAACTAGTAGATCATTCCAAACCAAAACCCCAAGTTTTAGTTACATGAAATAATTAAGTATTTTATGATACACAACTGCACTGCAATCAACTTCTAATATATTTGGCATTTTCTGGTCTACTTGATAAAGCTTTCAACATCTGCCTCAAATTAAAAATTTTACTCAACATAAAACCCCCAAAACTAGTTTCTAGACGCTCAGTGATACCATTCTTCCTATCATGCAGAAGCTCAAGCTTTACTTGCAAGTCTTTGCTTGATACAGGATCTAGATAGATAACAAAAGTATTACCAAAGGCAGTGTAAGTCACTCAGTTAAGCTGTTATCCTGTCAAAACCAAAATATTTCTTCTAGCAAAAAACCTATATTTCAAAATAAATTTTAAAAAAACTATACTTGCTTAAATGCAAGCAATCACTTTCATAGCAGATGGCGCATAGAACAAAGTACATACTGTTAGTCAAAGCACTGTAACCAAACTTAATTCTGTTTACTAATGGATTGGTAAATTCTAATAGATTAGACATACTGAAATCCATACTACTTTTTTTTTTTTTATAGCCCGAGCAAAGTATTTTAAGAAACCTACCTCAGAGTACTTAAACAGCCGAGTTTGAAAAACGTTTTCTGCGCCAGCTGCCCTCACTGACCAAGCATTCTTTTGTCATTTATGGTTGTTTAAGATTATGGCAAAAGATCAGCCTGTAGTTCCTCATTGAAGAATAGCAGAACTCGATCAGTACTTCAGCACTTAATCTGAAAATAAGGAAAATATTATTAGACTATAAAGTTTTCAACGGCTTTAAACTCAGTCACAAGTCTAAACATCACGTTTGAGTAATTCTCCTTGTCAAATCATCAGTTTCTTGTTCTGAACAAGAAAGCATAAAGACCACATTAGTATGGCTCACAGGAGAGCATGCAAAAAAGCAAATCCCCTTTTTCACTTAGGAGCTAACCAAACTTAACACAAAAGTTAGCATGGGACATCTTAGCCTTAACAATTATGAAATAATTTTCGGAATCATTCACTCTTCTTCCAAAGAATAAGGAAGGGCTAAGCAGAAGTGTTTGATAGTACCCAGGATACTAAAATATTTAATGGCTATAGAACTTTTAGAAGGATCCCAGGCACTGGCTTAATACACTATCTTTAAATGGCAAGAACAAAAACAAAGTCCTAACTACAGAACAACATAGAGAGTCAACCGGTTTTCAGTGGTATGGATCATCTTTTACTAGAAAGTTGATTATGTGTCCAAACTGCTAGTTCAAAGTCCAAGTCATCATCAGATCTGGATACAGGAAGCAACCTCCCCCAAATCAGATTCCCTAGAACCACCCACATTTTTGCCACCTTTTAGAGTCCCAATTATCTGGACCTTTTTCACGTTGTCAGCTCTCAGAATAGCTATGGACCACAGCAATAGCCTTTTTGGTTTTCTGTGGTACTAAAAATTTAAATTGCAGCTTCATGACACAATGGAGACGATTTAATGTCCAGATACAGTCAAAGGGTCATGTAAGTCCCTTGATCTCACCCATTACCTGTTCTAATTAAACTCAAGCAACTGTAACTGGGCAAAACTAGCTTGCAACATACACGTACACACACAAGCACAACACACATCACCAAAAATAGACAATAAAAAGGCTTTCCCTAGCTTTAAAGTATACATACTGAAACCTTCTGTTTCATAATTTGAGATTGATATGAGAATTCAGCTGACAGACTTGAGGAAAGTACTTTCCCTCTCTTTATTCCCCCACATTGGCTTTTGCTTCTATTCCACATCAGAACAAATCAACTCCACCTTCACTTTCAAAGTCCTTACAAACTACTACTCTCATTTCAGTACCAAAATGCCAGTCCATTCATTAGCCTATGACACCAGGAATCCAGAGTCCTTCCAATAGTTTGAATAAATAACATTTTCCTGCTCCCAATCCTCCCCAAATTGCACCCATGTTTTAAAGGAGCTAGCCATAAGCTCTATACAAGACTACTTCATCCTCCTCCTCAAAATTTTCTTGCATTGAGGCCTAGAGGAAAAAATATTTCAGGCTTACAAGTGTTTAAATCTTTGCCTCTCAATGTAAGCAATACCGACCAATATTCTTTCCTGTTCTTTGCCATCTGTCTCTATCTATTGTCTTGTATTACACACAGGTTGTAGATCTGTTATGTATCTCGTGCAAGTGGATCCTGGTCTGACATCAGGACCCCAGGTGAGCTGACAACAAAAAATTAAATACTATATTCCAGTCAATAGGCTTTACTTTTTTGGTTTGTTTGTTTTAACCAATCACGTTCAAATCTATCACTGTACATAACTGGTTACTAAAAAATCCTGCCAGATTTCAACAGTGAAGCAGTCACAATTCATGACTCTCCTATAATTTATGAAGACACTGCCCAGCCATTTTTCTTATTATTTTGGTATATTAAGGGATAGTCAACATAATGTTTGCATGCAAGTAGATTTCAATCAATCCCAATATATCATGCAATTTTTAAAATATGATGATGCACAGTCTATTTTCTCAAGTTCTACCAAAGTCAACCTATCCACAATGAACCAGAAAGACTCATGTTAGCCAACTGTGGAGTTAATGGCAGCTGGGAAAAAATCTTTGATGGATCTGCCACAATGCTTCAGGCTGCCTTGCTAGAACAAACAAACAAACCAACCAACCTTCAAAACAAACATCACCTAATAAAAAGAGCAAATTAAAAGCAACCACTTCTTTATAATTCAGCACCAAATGAACAATCTTGAAGTCCAGCTTTCTTAGCAAATAGAACTTTGTGCTTAGTTAGTTGACATAAAAGCATAGCCATATTTACCAGGTGCTGCAGACCAATAGGCTACCTGAATATTAATTTCAATCAGGAGACATGACAAAAAGAAAAAAGAGAGACTTCTATTTTAACTAGCTTGGCAATGTAACAATGAAGTTGAAACAGCCTGGTTGTCTCATTGTTAGAGCAAAACCGGATTTACAACCCAAGCTTATACTTTAAACAAAGTTTTATATGGCTTATCATCACTTAGAAGAACTAGCAAAAGCCTATTTTCACCCTCTCAGATACACACATCCTTTATATACACACACTTAAACATATCATTATACACACCAATTTCTTTTCAGAGAATTTTTGCCTTTTAGTACAGGCTTCAGTGTAATCTTCACAGGATGTGATAAAATGCATCTGATGTTTACCAAGTCTAGAAAAAGCTAGAAACTTTTAAAAAGTTATCTGACTTCCAGCAAGTCTTATTTCCTGTTGTTTCCAACATTGTAAAACTGAAAGATAGGCTCAGAAACTGTTAATAATTAAATATTATATCTCCACTTTTTATATTGATCAACAGCTTTCCCACTTGCCCTCCCTTGACTCAGGACGTACACCACCCCAATGCAGACACGTATGAAAACTAGGACAAGATACATAACCTTCAGAATTATTTCTAGAGTCTTTTACAAATACTAAGTAATACTGTGGGTTTAATTATTTTTTTTCCCCATGATCAAACATCTCAGAAAACAGGAGCCGATCCATTCAGTCAGCTATTCCTACTTCTGTCCGTATTATCCCCGAACCTTTGAACACGTGCTTCCCCCTCCCAATTTCACAACCTTCATGCTTCACAAGTCCTATCAAGAGAAATGCAATAATTAAAAAAAACAAAACAAAACACCCCACACCAAAAACCAACCAGCTTGTGCTTTATTATAAAGATTCTGGTGCGTCTTTCTCAGTCTACCTCCCCCGTTGTTACTACAAACCTTTACAAAGATCCCCTAAGCTACAATAATGTCCTACAAAACTTAACTACAGAAAACTAAAAATATACCTTATTGTGACCATATTATATGACAATTTTACAAGAGGCTGAAAAAAAACATACTACGTCCTATGCAACACCTTGAGCCCAAGCATCTTAATTAAGGGTAAAACACCAAGTTTCATTCTGTATTGTGTATTTCAGTGCTCTCATCTGTTATTAAAAAAAAAAACAAACCAAAAACCCCAAACCAAACAACTGGGTTTGGGGGGTTTGAGTTTGTAGTTTTTTGTTGGCTTTTTTTTTTTAAACAAGACAAGGACTTCATAGAGTCTGCTGGGAAAAGAGCACCACAAGTTTCATTTTGCCATCATAATAGCATTCACTTATCTTGGCAACTAAAGAAGTATTCACACCCACATACAAAATGTCACTAAGGAAAACACAGAATACATGGCTAACTGTTAATATTTGAGGAATACATATGAAAGTTTAGGCTCAAATTTAGTTCAGCTTTTACATTACTGGCTGAACTACAAATATATGGGTGTCATTTTAAATTAAAGTCCTCAGGGCTCCACCACCTTTCCTTAAAACAAAGAAATGAAACAACATGAAGTAAAAATAAAATAAACAAAAAAGGCTACGAATTGAAACCATGCCACAGGAATGAAAACATTAGTTCTGCGTGTAGAATTTCTGCCACAAGTCTCAACTATTTAAGCAATTCTTTTATTTGCTTGTTTTATCTAGCAAGAAATTCATATCATCTGTGAAGCCCAAAATGAAGCTAACAGTGACTGCCATTCTGCTCTATTTTTAATATATTATTTTGTGGGATTAGCAAACTTCAGTGATATTTTGTAACACATGAAAAGTAAAAAACTAAACATTAAGATTTTTAGATAGGAAAAAAGTGTGTTATAGGGCAACAAAATTGCTTGTCCCTACTTCTCAGGAAATACACCTCAAGTTTAGACTTCGGCTTTCTCAGTCCACAGTGCTGTTATCCTGTGAGCCACCCACGTGCCTGCACACAGGGTCCTAACAGAAGACAAACACATCCTCCGGTACAAAGAGGATCAATGCTCATTTTCTGCAATACAAGAAGGTTTATTTACAAATAAAATTCCACAGAAACATTAAGGTGTCTCAAAGTTTTTCATTTCTTGTGCTGTATTTGATAAATAAATAGAATGCATTATGTTACTTATATGACTTACTTATAACTAGACAAAATCTGTGATGTCCCTCTGGATGTATGTAGGACACATACTTTTAAATCCAACTAAAGAATTAATTTTTTAAGGTAAGTTTGAAATGTTCAAAGTTATAACAGATTTTAAGAATTTCGAAATGATGGCCTAAATTTATGACACAGATTCCAACTTGGAATCACAGAAACTTTCCTCATGTAACGACATCATCCAGAGCCAGCTGCCAGGTGTGAGCATGAGCAAGAAGGCTTGCCTGGGAAACTTGTCTACCAGCTCGCTGTAGAACACATAACCCCATTTAGCTACCACTGTACTACACACTATTTAATTTATATTTTTCAAAATATGGCAACCAGCACTGCTCTTTGCTCTTCAGTTTTATCAAGATAAAAGGAAACAGATTTTTAATTTTTTTTAAATGTAACTGCATGATCATAACCACTGACAATAACTGACAATTTTTATGCCATTTGTATACTCAAATTACTGTTAGCATTCTCAATGGATGAAACGCTTTTGGGCAGAAGAGCCTTTGCTCATCTGATTTTCAGCTTTCGTTCAACTAACAAGTAAAAATAGAGTATTTTGCCCATTTGAATTGATCCAGTCAAATTGAAAAGATGGCCAGGTTGGGACAGGGGACACAGGAAAGTAAAAAAAAAAAAAAAAGAAAAACTGAAAAAAAGGCCACCCCAAGCTTTAAGCAAACAAACAGAACACTACCACAAACTCAGGGGACAGAAAAGGA